GCGCTGATGACCAACTTAAACATACCTCAAAGCTCATTACATATCGTTGGTCATTCAGAGGCGTGTCTGACTAGTCTGTTAGAATGGCCAGGAGCAATAACCAAGTCTATATTCTTGTTCTGAACAGTATGGCTACTCTTGTACTGTATTTATAAAGTTTAATATAATAGTTCTGAAATACGGTACAGATCGAGCGGGTACCCTTCTTTGTTTTGAATAACTGCTGATTTAGGCCTTGCCCCAAATATGAAGTAACAACAATTGTGATTAATAAGATACAGTTAAACAATCGGAAACGTATCTTGGTAACTATCAAATGAGTGTTAGTCCAATAAGTTTGAAGAAATTTATGAAATAGTCTTAATCTTAACAATCATTTGTTAATATGGTTGAAAATAAGATACAGTTACATTGCATGGCAATGAATATTTGCTAGCAAATAATATACCTACAAACCGTACATGTTATATAAATAATCTGCTTGGTGACTAGTAGGAAAGTACGTTTTCTATGGATATTCGTGAATGATTATCAGATATCATAAGAAATCATGCAAGCGTATTGAAACATTAACCTTCCTCTAATTCACAAAATAGAAGCTCTTAAAATATTTTTCATTTTATGTCGCTATAAACAACGTGATTAAAATTTACATCTACTGTAGGACACAACAGTGTTACTTACCAACTGCATTCAAAATGTAGACGGAAGAACTTCTAGTGGTAGGATACAACAGTATTACTTACCAACTACATCCAAAATGTAGACAGAGGACCTTCTAGTGGTAGGACACAACAGTGTTACTTACCAACTACATTCAAAATGTAGACAGAGGACCTTCTAATGGTAGGACACAACAGTGTTACTTACCAACTACATTCAAAATGTAGACAGAAGACCTTCTAGTGGTAGGATACAACAGTGTTACTTACCAACTACATTCAAAATGTAGACAGAGGACCTTCTAGTGGTAGGATACAACAGTGTTACTTACCAACTATATCCAAAATGTAGACAGAAGACCTTCTAGTGGTAGGACACAACAGTGTTACTTACTAACTACATTCAAAATGTAGACAGAAGATCTTCTAGTGGTAGGATACAACAGTGTTACTTACCAACTACATCTAAAACCTAGGCAGATGACCATTTTAAGTATGATGCAAATGTGTTAGATGTCAACCTCACAAGGCTGGCCTGTATGTTAGACGCTCATTGAAGTGTATTAAAATACAAAACAACAAGTTTAGTGAATCAACGACAGGTGGAGCAATACTCTTCTTACAGATTTGCCACGTTTCATCTTGAAACTAGACAACAGGACTTTACTCATTGGGACAAAATCTGAAAATATATCCATCATAATTTTTTTACAGAAATTTGACGTATATGACGATGGTAAAGTACGAAGTGAGTTGAAATAAGCAGCCTCTACATTTTTCAAAATGGTAACGTTAATGTCACTTCTGCTGCCACGTGCTGATGGCCTTCAATTCGACCTAATGGATGGCAAGGTTTGTTCCTACCACGTTAAACTGGTCCTAGAGAAAAGTGGACTGGCCATATGTAGAGACTTCCACGCTCACCGGACTTCAGTCCCATCGAGCATATAAAGGATGCTCTTGGGAGATGTGTCGCTTCTCGTGAAGTGTCTCTAGACACAAAAGATGTCCTGGACTACCAGAGGAGTGAATGGTCGATAATAACTCTTGACCTTGGTAAAACTCAGATTTCAAGCATCAACACAGGTTACAGGCTGTTCGTGGTGATTATACTCCATATTGTTAAGATATAAAACCACCCCCCTACCGAATGTATTTTTACGACCATAAGCTGGATGACCAATCATTTTCGGATCATAAATGTCTTATTTACCTAAAAACGAACTGGGGGGGGGGAGATTGACATTATTTATAACAGTGTCCTGTCGTAGTTATATTATAATTCCTGGTTATTCTTCCTGTTATTTAATATATTTTCAGTTAGTTTCGAAGGTAAAGTTATATTATCGCTCCTAAGAAACGGCGACAAAGTTTACCTTTCATCTGTTTGCCAGTTCTTTGTCATCTTTTTTATCCTTATAAAAGTACATAAAGAGAAGAAACGTAAAGTTAATTCAAACCAATATCAATACCCTGTCTAAATAATAATTAAAAATAAAGCCCCAATTGCTTGTATATTGTCTCATATTTTAAATATGACATGATATGCTGTTATAAGTTTACTTCATTGGTAACCTGATTCACATGAATGTCAATAAATAACTGCTTTAACAGGACCTAAACTTAGAGACACATGTTTCTTAGAATTTCTACAATTAATATTATGTCTTACATACCATAAAGCTTACATAATTAATATTAAGCCTTGAATAAACCTAAATCTTACATGTTTTTCTACGTTATACATTTAGACTATTAAAACTAGATGAAAAACACTAATAAACTTTCAAGTTTTACTTTTGAACAGTTTAACGTGAGTTTTTGGGGTAAAGATAATAGTTTCAATTTTTGTTTGTTTGTCTGTCAGCGGCTTATAACGTTCAAAGTCTATTTATAGCTCCATTACTTTCTGGGCATAAAATAGTAGTTATCGTGCCGGAATGTGGATTCGACGGTCGTGGTTCCATCCAGTTTTAAAAAAAACAAGTTAATAATTTGCAATTCCAACTTTTGGGGCTGTGGGTGTAAGAGCGACCGGAAAGTTGCACTATTTGATTAGATTAGCCCAAAAGTTGGCGATGCTGTTGACTTATCTTATCAGTTCGAAATTAGTCCTTGTGTAGCTTTGTGCGAATATCCGAAACCAACAAGCAAAATTATTATCTTGCTGGGGCCCGTAATGGATCAATTTAGAATAATATTTTGAAAATTCATAATGGTCTTACTGCGATAGCTTAATCACAATCTCTATCCTAACATTCTCGGTAGATTTCCAGTGATATTTAAATATTGTAATACATAAAATGTGTGTCAAGTTATGCTTTATGTTCTAACATAATTTGTCGTGTATCAAGTTATGTTTTTTGTTCTAACATGATCTGTCGTGGATCAAGTTATATTTTATGTTCGAAAATAATCTGTCGTGTATCAAGTTATGCTTTTTGTCCTAACATAATTTGTCATGTATCAAATTATATTCTATGTTCGAACATAATCTGTCATGTACCAAGTTATGCTTTATGTTCTAACATAATCTGTCGTGTATCAAGTTATGCTTTTTGTTCGAACATAATCTGTCGTGTATCAAGTTATGCTTTTTGTTCGAACATAATCTGTCGTGTATCAAGTTATGCTTTTTGTCCTAACATAATTTGTCATGTATCAAGTTATCTTCTATGTTCGAACATAATCTGTCATGTACCAAGTTATGCTTTTTGTTCTAAAATAATCTGTCATGTATCAAGTTATGCTTTTTGTTCTAAAATAATCTGTCGGGTATCAAGTTATGTTTTATGTTCTGACATCTTTCGTGTATCAAGCTATGTTTTACGTTCTAACATAGTCTGTTCCTCCCTGAAAAACTATTAATAGTGTTCTTTTACTTGTTTGATAATTTTAACACATTTTTCTATGGCTAATGCGCATGTTCATTCACTAGTTGGTTTAATATAAATAGAAACTGATATTTTGGTTGATATACATCAAGGTACTTCGAACCGCAATTCAAAAAAAGGACAGGTACATCTTTTTTTTATCTAACTTCAATTAACGGATAATTAAAGACGAATTCTCACGTTACATATACACCTTAAAACTATAAACAAGACGAATTCTCACGTTACATATACACCTTAAAACTAGAAACAAGACGAATTCTCACGTTACATATACACCTTAAAACTAGAAATAAGACGAATTCTCACGTTATATATACACCTTAAAACTAGAAACAAGACTTATTCTCACGTTATATATATACACCTTAAAACTATAAACAAGACGAATTCTCACGTTATATATACACCTTAAAACTATAAACAACTTAGTTGCACTGTGATAAAAAGTTTACTGAATACGATTTTATAATAATTTCCAATATCAAAACCTTTATTGAAAAGAGTGTTTTGAATTGTTTACGAAACAAGTGTAAATCGTTTAAAGTAAAAAACGCTGACATTATTTTTACTAGCTGGGCAAGTTCTCTTCTCATTTCACGTGCAACGCACTCTCGAGAAGTGAGCTCATTCCTTCTGCCTGCGGCCAACACCTATCTGACACAAGTCCTGCTCGAAACAGTAGTTACCATAGAAACACGGAGCAAGTTCTTCGAATGTCAAAATAAATATATATCAAAATGATACTGTAGCAGTGTGTCATATGTTTTGTTTTTACTACACACCCTGTCTTCTCTGGTTTTTAATCGATAGCGGTTCACATTAAAGTTGAACAGAACAGCGAGCATTAGCCTACCACCCTTTTGTCTGTAGGGCTCCTTGCTACTGCCATAATGGGTCCTCTGCGCTTATTACCGTCGCTTGTACTGACTCAGCATAACTAGTGTCCAAAATAAATAACACGACGAGACGTGTAGCTTTCTGTTGTCGTTGACCAAAGTGTCAATCGTGGAGTTGTCTGTTTTATTGTACGTTTCCATACCACTACTGTTAATACAGAAAACTGCGAGATACTGTGGATAAATCATTAGCATTTAAACACTCTGAATACAAAAGCTGCGTCGTAAAAGTCACCTCTGACAAACAAATCGTCACGTTTTGCAAAAATGAAACAAAAACGTGAAATACTTCGTTCCCTACTGACCAGATGCGATTTAACTATGAATTGTCGAAAGCAACAATAATAATAAAATAGCGCTCAGTTTATAAGGTTTTATCGTGACATCTTTGTTTTTAAAACAATGTTCCTAAGGAAGTTTAAACAAACTAAATTTCAACGTAAAAAAAAAAGGTTAAATCGCTCAAGGATGTTAAGGACATCAAAACTAACACAATGTTCCTCAAGGCAGAAAATAAAGGTCGCGAAGAGAAAAGAGTTACTTACCTTATCATTTTCATCGCTTTTTGTCATACCATTGGCCAAACCAGATTTCGAAGGTTGATGGGTTGAGAGGTTGATTGCGACATCACGGTCACCGTCATGTTCCATCATCATGTCGCCATTATCCTGAAACCGAGAAGAAAAAGGAAGCCCATGTATGTATAAAACTAAATTATATTTAATAAATTAAGAACATTTTTAAAATAATAAGCATCGTTTCGAAATGGCGCCGTTTCCATTTAAACTGCTATTAAAAACCTCAACTGGAACAGTACTGTTTTTGATTAAAAAAAGGCCATACACGCTATTTATAAGATAACCTCAATTTATCAATTATTATTTTTTTATGTTTTTATGGCATTCTGAATTTAGAGACTCTACTATCAACACATTGAACTATTTTTTAAATATATTCAACCGCATTACAACCACATCAATTCAATGTTTCCTTCCCGCACAGAAGCACGCGACTCGCTCCAATTTCAACGATTAAGGTACCGATAAAAAAGTTACTGATGATTATTTGATAATTAGCGCTATTAACGTAGAAAATGAATTCTTGATTTATTTCAAATTGCCCATTTCCGATGCTTCATTGGATTTGTTCATCATCAAAAGTAAAGCTCGTGATGAGTTCCCAGCCCAGCATGAGCTTTTGGTTCAGTGGGTTTTATATACCACACAACCTTAGCTATTAAAGTTCCATAGCTTGATACAATAGAGGCAGTCGAGCATCGCTTGTCCCAGGCGATGCACTAAGACAATAGCTGACGGCTAACCTGGTCCACATCTGAATAACGAACTCAGACTGTTGAGAAAGACAAAAAAAGCGGACATCGGAGATCACGAGAACAGATACAAAAAGGAAGTCAGACATATATATCTATATTCAGTGAGCATTTTCTTCGCGCCAAAAAGTCTCTCAGTAATTTGCGAGTTTCCTTTATGGAAATATTTGGAACTCCCTTTGTTTTTGTGAATTAGACCCATACAACAGTTTGTTGTTACGTTACTGATTGAAACCCACCCAACAAGAAGAAATCAGTGTTGAATTAAAAAAATTATCTGTTACTGTTTTTGAATTTGTTGAATTTCCACGCGATGTTCTTTTCCACGTTATTTGCAAAACTGAATAAATGATTTTGATTTTACGTTTATAATCATAGTTGGTAATTCCACGTTTTAAATACAATTATATTTCATTATTATCTACTTCTCAGTTTTCAGCTTCAACAAGCATGTTTACTGTTCAAATATCTTATATTTTCAACTATTTTACATGCTACTGTGGCAGGGTTTTAAGAAGTAAGAACAAATATAGGCTAATGTGATGTTTCATCACATTTATAACCTGAAAATGCTAACTTAAACGTGCCGGTTGTGTAATTATTATTTTTATTTCCAATATGTTAAACTTTGCAATAAATGAAGGTAAGTAATTTAAAAAGCTTTTAAATTTAAATAAGCTAAAGGCAGAGGGATAAAGTAAGGAAACTAGCCCCTTCCTCAGGACTTAAAATAATATAGTTCGCATGCAAAACTTGACTACGAAATAAGTTATTGAAAACACATTTCCATCTGCTGTAGTCAAGGTTACGCAAATTATTTCATCGACAAATATTTACCATTGTTGAAACCAGAGTTACGGAGCTTGTCTCAACCTACAAACATTTACTATTGTTGTAACCAGAGTTACGGAGCTTGTCTCAACCTACAAACATTTACTATTGTTGTAACCAGAGTTACGGAGCTTGTCTCAACCTACAAACATTTACTATTGTTGTAACCAGAGTTACGGAGCTTGTCTCAACCTACAAACATTTACTATTGTTGTAACCAGAGTTACGGAACTTGTCTCAACCTACAAATATTTACTATTGTTGTAACCAGAGTTACGTAGCTTGCCTCAACCTACAAATATTTACTAGTGTTGTAACCAGAGTTACGGAGCTTGTCTCAACCTACAAATATTTACTATTGTTGTAACCAGAGTTACGGAGCTTGTCTCAACCTACAAATATTTACTATTGTTGTAACCAGAGTTACGTAGCTTGTCTCAACCTACAAATATTTACTATTGTTGTAACCAGAGTTACGGAAGTTGTCTCAACATACAAATATCTACATTTGTTGTGACCAAGATTGTACAATTTGTCTTTTGGAGAAGTGTCCACACCTACTACGACCTAAGTTACAGAACTTCAGTAACAACTGTTCACACATACTGCGACCGAGGTTACAGAACTTCAGCAACAGGCTTTCACACATACTGCGACCGAGGTTACAGAACTTCAGAAACAGGCTTTCACACATACTGCGACCTAAGTTACAGAATTTAAGCAATAAGCATTTACACCTACGGTAACAAAGGTTAAAAAATTTCAGCAATAGGCATTCACACCTATACGACCAAGGTTACAAAACTTCAGCAACAAGTGTTTCCACTTGCTGTGATCAAGGTTACAGCACTTCAGCAATAAGCGTTTACACCTGTTGTGACCAAGTTTACACAATCCAGTGTAGCAACAAGTGTATACATCTACTGCGATCAAGGTTACACAATCCAGTGTAGCAACAAGTGTATACATCTACAGCGATCAAGGTTACACAATCCAGTGTAGCAACAAGTGTATACATCTACAGCGATCAAGGTTACACAATCCAGTGTAGCAACAAGTGTATACATCTACTGCGATCAAGGTTACACAATCCAGTGTAGCAACAAGTGTATACATCTACTGCGATCAAGGTTACACAATCCAGTGTAGCAACAAGTGTATACATCTACAGCGATCAAAGTCACGAAACTTCAGCACATAAAGTTCTTTACACTCTTGTTTTGAAAGGTGTTCTAATCATTTACAGAAACGTGTATTTTCAGGTGCTCGCTAATAACAGCAAGATTAAAATAAATCACAACTAAACTGCACCTAGGATACCAAGTTAAGTGACAGTAATTAAACCAGAAACTGCTAAAACATTTACAACAGGCAAACTGTTTCAATTCCAAATTAAATAGTATGGATAAAATCAAGCAAAAGTTACAGGAGCCAACAAATGACAAAAACAGGCAGTGAACCTGGATGTAAACGGTAAGCGCTTACGATCGAGGTTCGGTAGGCTCAGATAAGATAACCTATAGTTGCAGACTATATGTATGTTTACATTCTTGGCGCGAAACAACTGCTGATCAACATCCTTTTTAGGATAGTCTGTTTAGTACAATGTTTCTCAAACGGTGGATCTTGACCACCTTGGAGGTCGCTAGCAGGTTTCGAGGGGTCACGAGCAGTCTGCGCTGGGTCAACAATGTCCTCGAGGTGTCTGAGATGTTCACGTATCATCTTTGTTATGAGCTATGACGAACTGTTTTTTTCATCCTTGCAGAGATATTGGTGGTCGCGAGGACCAAAGCCCGGAAGCGGGGATCGTCTGGCAAATCTGGCTGAGAAACACTGGTTTAGACTATAAATAAAAAGTTTCAATACATAATATTCTAGCATACCATGATATTTTTTCTTTTGTGTAGCGGATATAAAACAGTTCGACTATCAAGACCTGAGTTACTTTGCAAGTTTCAAGATAACTCAGGTAAGTTCTTTTATTGTCGTTTGACAAGTCAAAATGTCAAATGTAATTTTTAATTATATTATCTTAAATTTCTTCCAATTTATCTACATTATAGTAAAAGTTATAGGACATTACTACGTATGGGCCATTATGTCTATCTTGGTCAATTTTTACCACAATTCTTAAAATTTTCACGTTATTCCTATAAGCCAGTTTCGTTTGATTAGATGAAAAGATTACCAAAATAATAATCGGTCATCAATTTTGGACATACCATCGTGTATCTTATTACGTCTCATCTATGACTTTCTGATTATTCACAATTGGAAAAATTACTCAGCCATTTCATACAAACTCAGCTATTAACTTCATTCTTTTGAGATTAAAGTACGACTCAAAGGCTTATATAGAAATAAAAAGTTTTTTGGCATGTTGAAGAAATGCTAATAATTTATTTGTGATAAATCACTTGTCCAAAGTTCCGAAATCCAACTTGCTGAAGTTCCACTTTTTCTAAAAATAATCACGATTTCAACTAGCTTCAATTTCAGCCTAACAATGAAACCTGTTTACATGGAGGTAGATAAGACGACCCCCCACCATCTTGCTCACTGACTTAAACAGCAAACATTACGAGGATTATTTTCTCTTCAGTTTGTTATAAAATATTTTAAATACTACGAAGCTTGATTTCTTACTAGCTATAACCCTTTAAAACAATATAAGTTCTGATATTTACCTGCTTATATAGCCTAAGTTATAAATTACAGGTTAGTTATCCATGTATATCTCATTCAGGAAGTTCATCCAAAAATGACAATTATCGAAAAAACGTTTAACGTATAATTACATAGAATAACAAAGTACTTACATTACAACATTATGTAACGTTACTATTCAACAAATAACACTCGAATGCTTACTAATAGCCCCCAGTAGAGAAGCGGTAAGTCGAATGGCTTATAACGCTAAAAAGCGGGTTTCGATGCCAGTGGTGGACAAACTAATGCGCTAATTTTGTTCGCATTCGTTGTAAAATATTGTGGGGTTTCAAAAGTACGTCTTATTTCCTTTATACGATGTTTTTTACATTTGTGGTTTGTTTGTTTTGAATTTTGCGTAAAGCTACAAAATAGTCACGCTATCCGTCCCTAATTCAGCAGCTAGTCATCACTACCCACCGCCAACTCTTTGGCTACTCTTTTACCAAGGTCATATTATAACGCCCCCACAGCTAAAAGGGCAAGCATGTTTGGTGGGACGGAGATTTGAACCCACAGCATTCAGGTTACGAGTCAAGCGCCCCAACCATCTGGCCATGCAGGGCCTTGATACTTGTGATCAGCAAAATAATGTAAAACTGACGAAACAAGATTTGTCATTATTATACAATATTTGTCCGGGTAACCCTACGTCCTGAAAAGGAACTTTCTTTACACTGTTCAGAATATCCGAGAGGGAAAGGAATTAACTGACAAAACGATGCAGTTGTTATTACATGTTAGACTGCTACTGTTAAGTCTACACACGCAGCCTAAATTTAAATGTCTTATACA